AAAATGTTGTAAAGGAAAATAAGGATATGAGTATTCCGGCGAGAGCGAATTGGAAGCCACTTGAGCATTTGACGGAATTCAGAGACGTGATCACATATTTTGAAGTCGCTCAAGCTTATCGAGTTGTGCTTCAGTGAGATTCAGATAGCTGACATCGGCATAGTCGAGAATTGGGAGGAGAAGTGCTTGTGCAAGCGCAACCCTAGTTGCAGTTGGAAGGAATTTGCGTAGTCTTCGAAGAGAACCGGCTGAAGCAAATATCCTACGACTGACCTCTTGCATCTGTGAACCCCATGATAAAGTGTTGTCTATGTAGATCCCTAAATTTTTTACAGTGGTGCTTATCTCAAGAGTTGTGCCACCGAACTGAATTTGGGGCAGTAGAGTCCAGTTAACTTTTGAGATCAGCCTGGGGCTGCCAATAACACACACCTGTGTCTTCATAGGATTAATCATAAGTCCATAGTTATAACTCCACTCGCCAATGCGTTGAAGGTCAGCATTAATTATGTTGAATGCATCCGATAACATGTTAATCGGAGCTTGTGTATATATTTGTAAATCATCTGCATAAAGGTGGTAGAAGGAACTTAGTTGATTAGAGATTGAGTTTATAAAAACAGCGAAGAGTAATGGAGATAATATAATAAAAATATAAGTAATAGACCGCCACCCTGCGGTACACCAGCAGAAATACTGCACCAAGAGGACATGGAGTCATCAATGCAAATCCGTTGCCGGCGACCAGACAGGTAACTATGAAACCAATCAATTGTCCTTGGAGATATGTTAAGAGACCGTAGTACGCCAAGCAGAATGTGAAAATCCACAGTATTGAAGGCATTGCTAAAATCAAGTAAGGTGAGAACTGTGATCTTTTCCACTATCCATGCCTAGTCTGATGCTGTCTGTAATGTGTACCAGCGCAGAAGTTGTGCTATGGCCAGGGCGAAAACCGGATTGGAAGGGGTTCAGTAGAGAATTTTTGGAGAGGAAGTTAGTCAGTTGAGAGTGGATGAGGCGTTCAAGTACTTTGGATAGGAAAGGTAAAATAGATATGGGCCGATAGTCAGAAAATGAAGAGGGTTTAGCTTTTTTTTGGAAGAGGGATTACTTGGGCATCTTTCCATGCAGATGGAAAAACACCGCTTGTGACGGAGTGATTAAGGATATTGCATAGGATAAGTAGAATTTCGTGAAGGATAGGAATAATAATATTTCGACTGATGCAGTCACTTCCCACTGCGCTGGATGAGATCGCCAGAATGGTCTTCCTAACATCACAAGCGGACAACTGATCAAAGACGAGAGGTGGATAGTTGGGAGTAGGGGTAGTAGAAATATATCTAAGAGTATTAGCTTTTGTACTGTCACTAATGTCAGACGAGGCAGAGAAATGTTTATTGAGTAAGTCAATGTTGACATTTTTGGGAATAGGCTCTTGGCGAGACCTCCCGACTCCCAATGTTCTTAGAAATTTCCAGACTTTTGCTGGATCTCCGTTTTCTACGGAAGAGTGGATGTGTTGGCGTTGTGCGTTTCTACACATCTTATTGCAGAGATTTCTCAGGTACACATATTTTTCTAGGTTCGCTTCGGTTGGCCGACGCTTGTATTTGCTTTTCGCTATACATTTCCTGGATATAATGCTGCGTATCTCCTCAGTAAGCCATGGAGCCGGTAAATGTTTAAGTTTTATTGATCGCAAGGGCGCGTGGACGTTATAGAGCTATGGACTATATCTGTGAATATTTGGACTTTATCATTAACACACTGCGAATTTAACAAATTGTTCCAGTTGATGTTTCGCGCATCTTCCTTAAGTCTTACAAGATTCATCGCGCCAGAATTACGCTGCTCAACAATTCTCGGCTTTGCCTTGGGTGGTCGGATAGCATAAGAGAGAAATATCAAGTCATGATAGGAAAAAGCATCAGCGGAATACTGATCATGGCTGATGACATGATCAGTAGAAGAGACTAGGATAAGATCAAGAAGAGAGGGAGTGCAGTTAGGGAAGTGATGTGTAGCATCAAGTGTTAAGAGTGATAAGTTATTACAGTCCACAATTCTGCGTAGTGAAGAAGAGCGATGGTCATTTTTCAACAAGCAGGTATTGAAATCGCCCATTAGTAATGTGTGGCTATAAGAGGGAGACAAGTTTTCCAGTAATTTTTCAAAAGAGGAAAAGTAATTAGTACGCAACGAGGGAGAATAGTAAACACCAAGTAAAATCTTCGCATGATTAACTACTAGTTCTATAAAGAGTTGCTCGCCAGCGTCTGGTGATGGGGGCTGTGACGACATGTTTATAATGGTAAAGGGAATGTGCTGTCGCAGATATATGCCAACACCACCCCCACCACCGATCGCACGGTCATTCCTTATGAGATTGAAAACAGGAAGAGTATATGGTGTAGAAGGTAGGCACGGTTTTAACCATGTCTCTGAAACTAAAATTGCGTGAATATTTTTGCAATCAAAGGTCGCCAGCATATCAGGGAAATGAGCTGGAATACTCTGGGCATTGATATGGACTACATTAAAACTCCGCGGAGCATTAGAAAATTGGTACTGAAGATTCTCATGGAGTGAGGGTATGCTAACGTAACTAGAATCAAGACTGTTTATCGAGTAAAAACTGTCATCATCATTATTGTCCAAGTCAGACATAAAGTTGACTCAAGAATATACAAGTAAACTAATCGAGCAATAATGTTCAATAAATAATAATAATATATGAATAGTAGTAATAAAAAATAAAAATTTAATTTTATGATCCACCCGCCAGTCGTGTGTTTTACATTTAGAAATTACTGAAAGATATTAACTAACTGTGTTCCTTTCTTGTAACTCTGTAAAATAGTGTGCAAATAAAGAGTTTTCTATCTATCTATCTATCTATCTATATGTTTTGGGTTGAGTGAAGTGCTCTTCTCAGCCCCTATTCCAGATATAACACAGCTGCTTTGAATTTTCCTAAGCCCAAGCAATTGAGCTGCAGACTCCGTAATAAACGAAGCCTGTGATACCTGGTCCAATAAAGACTTTAGCGTTAAATACGATCCTGTGTTAATCTCCGCATTTACCAAGGCGGTTGCTAAAATAACCTGACAATTACTACTCGAAAAACAACTAGTTGCACCCCCTATTTCGATCTCGTCTTGAAGTGTTGCTGCCGTTGCAACAACCTTGGTGTTATCAACTGACTGTTGGGTTGTTTCATTAGTATCAGTTGATTGGTTAATATTGACTGAGTGCAGCAGAGAATGATGTTTCTTTTTGCAAATTCTGCATCTTGTGGGTAAACGACACGCTGCTACTGAATGGTTTGCACCTAAACAGTTATAACATAGCCCGGAGGTTTGAACAAAATTACGGCAAATTGATAGGTCTTTTTTAGCGAATTGTTTACAATTTCCTAGTTTATGGTTGGTTTCAGAACAATAGATACAAACAAATTTTGTTTCAGCAGTATTATTAAAAACATGATGTGACTTGGTGACTTTTACAATGTTGGTACTTAAAAATTCGAGAGACCTAAATCTATGCTCCAAAAACTCTAAAAATTAGCTTAACTTTGGCAGTTCGCCTGTTAAGCTACAGTTTTTTGCTTCCCAATGTTTACGAGATTCACTATCTAGCTTTTGACATAGAGTGTAAATGATAATTATGTCCCAGTTTTCTATATTTATTCCTATATTTTTTAGAGCATTTAAACATTCGGTGGAAGTGTCAAGAAGTTATTTTATACATTTTGAGGATTCATTAGTTAACAATTTTTGGTTGAAGAACCGTTTAAAGATGCAGTTTGTTATATTTTTTTTATTATTAAATCTATGTTCTAATGTATTCCAGCATGTGAGATAATTATCACTAGTAACAGGTAAATGGCGCAACAGCTGCAAAGCTTTCTGCAGCTGCAATTTTCTTTTCCACCGGCTTATCTTTTATTCTAAGCAAACACTCCTTTAATGCTATTTTGTAATCAGTGTACAAGTCTTCAGTTTCACCATAGGCACCCTTTACACTGTATTCAGACGCTTCAAACTCGTCCCTTTTGTGTTCCGTAATTAATTTTAGATGTCTGTTCAAACGTCAACCATTGTTTTTCCAGACATTCTAACCGTGTTTCCAAATAACTAAAAGTGAGTCTGTCCTTAGGAGATTTCTTAAAATTCAGGAAACCTCTTTCAATTTGCTTATATATATCTGCTTGAATTCTAGTTAAGGAATTCATTATCGAAAATATTTCCAAGATATTTTACTAAGATATAACTCCGCCAAATCAGTTGGAAATTTTCTAAGTGTTTGCCTTTCAAAATTTTTCTAAGTTCAAATAAACACAACGCTAAATTTTCTAAGTGTTTGGGAATTCAATTTGAGACTTAGGCAATTTCGGCATGGATTCCCCGTCTCAACCACAAATCACTTAAAATTTTTACAAGTCCTAAACTCACTGATTTTTTTCTAAGTTAATATTAAGAGTACTCACAGTTTGAATGTCCTTTTACCACACTAAATTATTGCACTTGTCACACTTAGCTGCCAAACTTCGCCGTCAGATGTGACGTCACCTCGGTCGTTCTTCACTTTCAGTTGGCTCCGCTGCTTCAATCTCGTTCCGGTGTCACTGCTGTATCCGGCTCGTGAGGACCATGTATAAAAACACCAATTCTCCAAGACTAAGATAATTTATTCAAATCAAAAACTAAATATAACATCGACGCGGTAACGAAACCATACCGTGATTTAGGCAAAAGGTACAACGCCATCTATTGAGAGTACATGCAAAATTTGTAACAATATCTTGGCATTATACAAGTATATGCTAAAAAAAAATATTTCGCATATTTTTATACCAATACTTATTGCTTCCAATATTATTATGCCTCGCAAGCGTAAATCTGATCTAGCGCGTAGCTCTAAAAGAGCTCGAACTGCGCAAGTAGCTAGATCCCAAGAATCTGAGTAGCAGATTCAAGCCCGTCACGTTTTAGATGCCGCGCGGCACTTAGCTCAAAGGGCTACCGAGACCTTAGAACAGACTCAGGCCCGTGAGATTGTAGATGCTGAGCGTCACACAGTTCAAAGGGCTGCCGAGACCTTAGGACAGACTCAGGTCCGTCTCATTTTAGATGCTGAGCATCACGCAACTGAAAGAGCTGCTGAGACCTTAGAACAGACTCAGGCCCGACAGATTTTAGATGCTGAGCGACACGCAACTCTTTGAGCTGCCGAGACTTTAGAACAGACTCAGGCCCGACAGATTTTAGATGCTGAGCGACACGCAACTCAAAGAGCTGTCGAGACGTTAAAACAGACTCAGGCCCGTCAGATTCTAGATGCTGAGCGACACGCAATTCAAAGAGCTGCCGAGACCTTAGAACAGACTCAGGCCTGTCAGATATTAGATGCTGAGCGACACGCGTCATCGATAGCTGCAGAGATGCCAGAAGAATCCCAAAAGACGACGTGTGTTAAATGCTGAACGGCAGTCAGAAAGGAGAAATGCGTTTACAATGAATACATGGGGAGCGTTCCACAATGCCGCTTTTGATTATGACCTATCGATTGAGTATAACAACCATCATTCACTTATCATAGGTGGAATGGATAAAAAATGTATACATTGTGAAGCACTCAAGTGGAAAGAAGAAACTCCGGGTATGTGTTGTTCTGGTGGTAAAGATTCAATTCCAACAATTGGAGAACCAGAGGAACCACTGAAGTCTTTACTTTTAGGTGATAACAACGAATCGCGGCGTTCTTTAATCAAAATAAGAAAATATAATTCTTGCTTTTAAATGACGTCATTCGGTGTAGAAAATGAGGTAGTTATGCCAGGGTTTTCATTTACATTTACAATCCAAGGTCAAATCTATCACAGGATTGGTTCTTTGCTTCCTACAAATAATGAACGGGCAAAATTTTTACAGATTTATTTCATGGGAGATGAAAACAATGAGGTTGACCGCAGGTGTCAAAACATTCAAATAGTTGAAAAGTACATGGTTCTAAAGATTCAGAGAATGTTGCATGTCTATAACCGCCTAATAAACACTTTCAAAACAGCTTTAAAAAGAATGCCGGGAGATGATTATAAGTTAGTGATTCAACCTGATCGTACACCAAGTGGGGAACACGAAAGACGATATAATGCACCTTTGATAAATGAAGTTGCAGCCATGGTTTGTGGCGAATAGTTTGCTTCCCGTGATATAGTTTTACATGTCCGTGATGTTACATTAACTAGGGTGCCGGATACACATAAATTTTACGATGCGTTAAAATATTCGCTATTATTTAGCAAAAGGCAAGAGGGGTATCACTTTCAAATCCCACAAGTCCATCCTGTAACTGGTCTCCAAACAACAAAAAGGTATCATGTATGGACTTTTATGCCTTTCATATCATGATAAGAGAAAATGATTTTAATATTATATCACGATGCAGGCAACTGACCAATCAGTTTTATGTTGATATGTACGTTAAGGTAGAAAGCGAACGACTACGATACATAACATTAAATCAAACTAAATTAAGAGCAAAAAGTTATATCCATCCTCAAGACGCAGTAGCGAATGACGCTAATCTAAATCCAAATGATATTGGTAAAATGATAATTTTACCGTCTTCATTTGTAAATATTCCGAGGTACTTACACGAATATACTCAAGATGCGTTTGCTTATGTACGTACAGTCACCCTAATTTATTCGTTACGTTCACTTGTAACCCAGCATGGCCTGAAATAGTAAATGAATTAATGCCGTGTCAAAGCGCAATTGATAGGCATGATGTAGTCGCAAGAGTTTTTAGGTTGAAAGTAAAAAAACTTATGTCTGTTATTTCCAAAGGCAGAATATTTGGAGAAGTGATCTGCTTTATGGATTCCATAGAGTGGCAGAAGCGTGGCCTACCACATGTCCACATATTATTGTGGTTAAAAGACAAGTTGAGACCCGATCAAATTGATAAAATCATCAGCGCAGAAATACCCGATCCAAGCACTGACTGAAGATATTGTAGTTAAAAACATGATTCATGGTCCATGAGGACCTGAAAATCCTCAGTGCCCTTGCATGAAAGATGGGAAATGCACAAAGAAATTTCCTCGCAAGTTACACAAAGAGACTGTCCACAATGAAAACGGATACCCACTCTATCGTAGAAGAGCATCAGCAGACGGAGGTCGAACGGCATCTGTGAAACTCCGAAATGGGAGTGACGTCACTATTGAAAATAATTGGGTGGTCCCTTATTTCGCTATTCTATCAAAAATATTTAACGCCCATATAAATGTTGAGGCTTGCAGTTCAGTGCGCGCTATCAAATATTTCTGCAAATATATTAATAACGGCAGTGATCAAGCCATTTTCAATTTTAGGAACACAGAGCTTGCAAATCGCGTAAATGAAGTACATACATACCAATCTGGTGGTTATGTTAGCAGCAACGAAACTGTGTGGCGGTTATTAGGGTTGCCGTTGCACGAAACCCCACCGTTTTACATCTGAGTGTACACTTAGAGAATGGTGAACGGGTTTATTTTACAGAAGATAATTTAGACGAGCGACTATCTACTCGACCAAAAACCACACTTACAGCTTTTTTTGTACTTTTCACAAGAGATGAGTTTGCAAGAACTCTTATGTATGCTGAGGTACCGAGGTATTACACAAGGAACTTCTGTTCAGAACTGGCCTGGTGTCAAATCTGGAGATGCTTTAGGACGAGTTTATACAGTCCATGTTAATAACATGGAATGTTTTTGTTTAAGAATACTTCTACACCATGTACGTGGGCCAACAATCTTTCAATAATCTAAAAAAATACAATAATCAAGAATTTTCAACATTTCGAGACGCATGTGAGGCAAGAAGATTGTTGGAGGATGACAATCATTTTATTAATATTAGTAATTTAGTAATTTATTTATTTTATCTCCACAAATTACACAAATCTTAATATTTAAGTTGACAATTATTTAGCTTAATTGGTAATTTGTAGGAGATCTGGAGTCCAAACTAAGCCTAGGCCTGTATTTTAGAGCTCCAGGCCCCCCAAAATGAATTCACAGTAATATTATCAATGCTGTTTTTGAGCGTGGATATTTATGTATGCATGCGTGTGTGTGCGCGCGTGTGTGTGTGTGCGTGTGTGTATGCGTGTGCGTGTGTGAGTGTATGTGTGTGTGTTACATGTATATATATATGTGTATACAATTTTTTAGTTTATGACTGACTACGCCACTATCTCTATCAACTTTTCTGTTTCTAAATAGTTTAGATTGAGAAGTAGCTTATGTATTTTGGTTTTGCATTCTATCTTTGTACAGTTTACTATGGGTATTAATTTAATTATTTTATTAAACAACATAGATCCACGGAACATATAAAATCTTTGTGCGAAGGTAGTATAAGTTCGTATCGGCTCACATATTGCATAATTTCTGCGGGATTGGGCTACACGGTTTGTTCTATCTGGAGACAAATTCGAATGTTTGTGAAGGACGGTTAGCAGTATATATAGTTGTCGTACCGTCAATATATGAGTTTCTTTATAAAGTTTAGTAGTAGGGAATAAACGAGGTTTAAATGTACTCACCTTTAATATCATCCTCTGAGCTCTTTCTATGATTAACATATTGGATTTACAAGCACCTCCCCAAGCAGTAATACAAAAGCTCAAAATAGATTGCACCATGGCGTTGTAAACCATCCTTATGGTTTGTTTCTCTGCTACATCTCGGAGCTCTTTAAAGATGTAAACTAGTTTGCGTATCCTTTGTGATAAAGTACGAATGTGGGTTGCAAAGGTTAAGTTAGCGTCTATTTCGATTCCAAGGTATTTTAGGCATTGAGTGCGTTCAATGATGGGACAGTTGCAAATAGCTATTGGTGGGAAGTTACATTTATGTGCAAAAATATTGTGGTTGTGGATTGTTATATCGATTGTGTTTTGTATTGAGAAGTTAATGTATTTAGTTTTACTTTCATTAAGGGTAAGTGAGTTTGACAATAGCCAGTGACACACAGTGTTAAATCCAATTTCAGCAATTTCAAAAAGTTCACTCCAAGAATCAGCGACAAACGTAAGAGCAGTATCATCTGCATATGTTGATAGACGGCAATTTTTAATTTTTAAATTACTGAGCTCGTTGATGTAGCAGAGAAAGAGAGTTGGACCCATAATGCCATAATAAAAAATCATTTGGCAGTACATCACTGACATACTGTCCTACCTTTACACATTGGGTTCTATTATTTAAGTAGTCAGATATCAATGATGCAGGTGTGCCTCTGATACCAAAATCCTCGAGCCTTTGTACTAGGTTGGGGACAGAGACAGTGTCAAAGGCTTTTGCAAGGTCAAGAAATATGGTTAAACATTTACTCTTGTTGTCAAAAACTGCGTTTTCAGTCGAGCGGCCAATTCTAAAGCCATATTGATGCGATGATAGTAGATTGTTATGCTCTAAGTATTGAGTTAGTCTATTATTAATAATACGTTCAAATAATTTTGACAACGCTGTTAATATTGCAATTGGCCTGTAGTTACTGACACTGCCTCTGTCACCCGCCTTATGTATTGGATGTACCACAGCTCTTTTGAATGCATCAGGAAACACTCCCTCCCTCCTCCTCCCTCCTCCTCTTTTAAAATCTCCGCACTGATCTGATCCCACCCAGGAGCGCAATCACTTCTTAATAGCTTAATGTTTTTTTCAACTTCTTCGTTGTTCGTAGGTAACAGAACAAATGATCTTAGCGGAGGTTTTGAGGATTTTATGAAGGGAGGGAGGTGTAAAGGTATTTGGTCTGACAATTGTTTACCTATCTTTGAGAAATATTCATTTATTTTGTTGACTGAAGATTTGGGAACCTCATCAATTATTAGTTGAAGTGGTGCCTGTTTTGTTTTATTGTTATTTGTTATTGTTTTGATGGTAGACCAGAGCCTTTTTGTATTATTTTTTGATGTTATTAACTGATCACTAAAATATTGTTTTTTAAGTTTTTTAATTACATTGTTGCAGTAATTTCTGTATCTCAATGTTATTTTCAATATGATGTTATCCTTGTCTGTTTTTATTTTTTAGTGCATTCTATCTCTCGTACGAATACAGCGGAGGATGCCAGGAGTAATCCAAGGTTTGATTATATATTTACTTCTAGGGATCAAACGTTTTATTGAGTTTTTTTTAATTAGGTGTTGTAAAGTTTTAATA